TGCCGCATGTCCCGCAGGGTGCGAGAGCCCAGGTCAACCCAGGTAAGCGAGACGGGGACCAGGCGGCTGCAAGAGCCACAAGGTGCGTTTCACTGGGCTGTGCTCCTGCCAGGGCGTCCGAGCTTGGGCTCATGTCACCTCCACCATCTCCGGGACTTTCCTGGCTCTGGGAGCAGTGTGTGATGGCCCCTCGAGCCCTGCCTGTCTGGGACTCTCTGCTGTCCTGCACTTGGCTCAGCCACTGTCCGTGACTCGGAAAGCATCCTTGATGTGCCACAGGCGCCTCTCCTGGCACCGGCGGGCTGGCAAGGCGCTGGGCTACAGGCAAAGCGCTGCGGCTGGAGTCCTGGGCTTTGAGTGGGCCCTTCTCCGCAGAGCCCGCTCAGTTTCGAGGCTGTGGTGTGCAGGAGGCAAGGCGCCAGGGCATTGTTTGCTGCCCCTGGGATGTGCTTTCTTTGGCGGTTTCACAGCAAACCAAGGCTGGCTTTGGTAAAGCAGCTGGACGAGGTGCCTGGCTTCTGCTCAGAAACCACAACAGTGCGCCGGACGTCAGCGAGAGAAGTGTATTTAAATGGCTGCTGCTGCAAGGCTCAGCCCCCTCCTGTGCTGCAGGGGTGGACGCAGAGCCCAGGCTCCTTCAGCGCGTCAGGGTTTCCCCAGGGCATCCCCGTGGCAAGACCCTTCAAAGGCTGCTTCCATCCATGGAAAGTGTTTGCTGGGTCTTCCCTGGAGATTGCGTGGTGCTTAGGGAAGCAATCCTGTTTCTTCTGCAGCCATGCAGGGCCGGCAGCTTCAGCTTTGCCAGGCCAGGATGGTTATTATCTAGGGCTAAAGAAGCTGGGCTGGCTTCATGTTCGGCAAGAATTAAATGGGAGTGCACTGGGAGCTGCACTCTGCAGGGCATCACACGTGGGAGAGCTGGAGATGAGCGGGGATGCTCCCCACTGTGCCAATGCTCAGGCTGAAGACACTCCCATCCCTCTCTCGGATGCAGGAGACAGTCCCTGGGGCGCGGGGACGCGGGGATGGGAGCCAGCTGCAGGCAGCACCGCACGCTGGGGCGGTGGACTCCTTGCTGGTGCAGCACGGGGAGACCCGGAGGCTGTGGGTCAGGAGATGGCCCCGGCACTGCATCCTGGCTGGCCCTGCCGCCTCGGTGCAGGCGCTGGCTGGGGCGGCGCGCGGAGGGAGT